AGCAACGAAAGACAAACGGCAAAAGAAACAGACTTCGTTTACTATTCTGGGTCTAGGGCAATTTTTACAGTGGCAAAAACTTGTTTAAGTTGGTTAAACGGAAAGAGGGTTTTGAGACGAAACTCCAGGCGCTTGAATCGCCTGATTCCGATAAACGAGCGAAAAGTTATACTAAAACAAAAATCGGATCAGAAATCGCGATCAGAAAAATCGCGGATTTAATCCGAGAAAAAGAAAAACGACGAACAGTCTAACGAACGAACGTTCGTTAACTGGATCTAAACGACAAACACGTTCGTTAAAACGAACGAACGAGCGAAAGCTCGCTAATTAGTCTAAACCAAAAAAACCGTTCTAATAAAAAAACGAATCTAAAAAAATAAACCGCGGATTAAAAAAACCAGGCGGCGGGTCCGGCGAGCGGCGAGGCGGCGGCGGGCGGCGGCGCGGGCGGCATCGGGGCTAGGGTTTCGGCCCGGGTGGGCTGACTCGGGCCCCGGGCGGCGGCTTATAAGGGCTGCCCCGGGCGGAGTCCCGCTCGGGTACGGCCCGGAGTCGGTTCGCGTTTTTTAATAATAACGCGCAGAAAAACAAATAAAAGAAATACTAAACGGACTCCAAAAATCCCGAAATAAATTTTCTCCGGCTTCTAAAATCAAGCCGCACAGGATGAACATTTATTTGGGGCCTAAATACAATTTTGAAAACCGCGCATTTTTTCCTAATTCAAATAAATAGCAAATAAAACCAAATAAAATCTTATTTGATTTTTTTATTAAATCCTCAATATTTCTTTATTTTGGGAAAGTCATTTTATTCCCTCTCTCATATTTTTGTGATAGAAATTTATTGAAGATAAAATAAATAAAATCAAATGACCCTATTTTCAAAATTAGAGACAACTCAAATATGAAAATAACGAAATCCCCAACTCTCTCCGATGGTCCTTGAGTTAAGAAAAATTTCTAGGATCAACCAAAATGCAATAAATATGATATGCAATGATGATCTAGTGTATAACATTCGAAATTGAAAATTTGGGATGTTACATGCACAACTGAACGTGGCAGCTTGTTAACCATCCCCAGCACGCCAACATGATTACCGGGAAGTGGGTCTTCAAACACAAGCTCCGTCCCGATGGTACCCTTGATCGCTACAAACCGCGCTAGGTCGTCCGTGGCTTCCGACAGCATGCTGGCATCCACTTCATCGACACATTCACTCCGGTCGTCAAGCCCAGCACGATACGCACGGTTCTTCACCTTGCGGTCTCCCGTGCTTGGCCGGTGCACCAGACGGACGTCTCCAATGCCTTCCTCCATGGTCAGCTAGAGTAGCAGGTCTTCTGCCAGCAGCACACTGGGTTTGTTGACCCGATGCTTCCCGACCACGTGTGCCTGCTTTCGCGGTCCTTGTATGGACTCAAGCAGGCTCTGCGTGCTTGGTACCACCGCATCGCAGCGTTTCTCCACCAGCTTGGGTTCCGCTCCACCCGCTCGGATGCCTCGCTCTTCGTCTATCATTAGGGCTCTGACATGGCCTACTTTTTGCTCTATGTCGACGACATCATCCTGACGGCATGTACGGCTGGTCTCCTCAGTCAGCTCACGGCTCGTCTTCGCGCTGAGTTTGCCATCAAGGACTTGGGTCCTTTGCACAACTTCCTCGGTGTTGAGGTGTTGTGCCGTCTGGATGGATTCTTCCTTCATAAGCGGAAGTATGCTTGTGAGCTCCTGGAGCGGGCCAACATGCTTAACTGCATGCCCGCAGCTACGCCTGTTGATACGAAGGCCAAGCTTTCTTCACGGATGGTTCTCCTGCTTCGGATGCTGCTTTTTATCGGTCTATTGTTGGTGCTCTTCAGTACCTCACTTTAACTCGACCGGAGATCCAGTATGTCGTGCAGTAGGTGTGTCTTCATATGCATGCTCCTCGAGATGTTCACTAGGCTGTTGTCAAACGGATTCTCCGCTATGTCTGTGGCACTATGGATCTTGGTGTCACGTTTCATGCCTCTGCCGACACAGCCCTCACCGCCTACTCCAATGCAGACTGGGCGGGCTGCCCTGACACTCGTCGCTCCACCTCGGGCTATTGTGTCTACCTTGGACCCTCACTTATCTCGTGGTCATCCATGCGACAGCTTACGGTCTCTCGTTCCAGTGCTGAGTTGAGTATCGTGCGGTGGCCAACACCGTCGCTGAGTGTTCGTGGCTTCGCTAGCTGCTTCAGGAGCTCTCTTGCCCTATTGACCGTGCCACGGTGGTCTATTGCGACAATGTCTCAGCGGTCTACCTCTCCGCTAACCCGGTGCATCATCGACGGACCAAGCATATTGAGTTGGATATTCATTTTGTTTGGGAACAGGTGGCCCTCGACCATATTCGTGTTTTACACGTCCCTACTTCCCAACAATTTGCAGATATCATGACCAATGACTTGCCTACGGCGTCATTTGAGGAGTTCCCGTCCACTCTTTGCGTCAGCGCAGTGCCGCTTCGACTGCGCGGGGGGGGGGGTGTTGAGTATATGTGTTGTGCATATTTGTGTATTGGGCCCACCTCCTAGCTGCCTTGTATAGTTGAGGTCGTGGCCTACTCCTGTACATCACATATACGTGCGTTTGCACCTGAGGAGTACAACACATAATTCCCACATCATACACCTTTGCAAGGGGAGCTTATTGTCTCGTGTAACCAAACGTCGGACCAGAGGCTATCACCCCTGCAACAAGCAAATCGAACCAACACATTCAACAAAACAATGATGCACGAATGTCGACGCTGCTTGATCAAGCCAGGTGGATAGATCAAACATCCCTGAAGTCCGCCGCAACAGTCGTCGCCCACCACTCTACCAACATAGTTCACATAACCATCCACTTGAAATAATCATCATTATATTTGAACTAACATTCTTATAAGTTGAATCCGAAGGCCCTCATATAGATTAGAAACCTTAATTGTTAACCTCAAAAGGAAGGAAATGGGTCCCGACTTGATGTGATGAATAGCACCACAGTGACAGAGCGAGGGAGCGGACGGTTTGTTACACACGTACCTTGTCGTCGATGTTGTATCATCGAGTAGGGTGAGAGATGGGTGGTGCTCTTTGAGATCCGGTTTGGATAGCAAAGGTTTCCCTGCCTTTTCCCGAAGCAGCAAACCTGAGTTATCGAATCCACGAGAGGATGTGCACTATGACAGGGCTCTAACAAGTTCTTATAAGAGAATTAAATTCGAGTTTTTGTAACCGGACCTTAACAACCTTAGGGGTGTAAATACTAGAATTAAAACAAGCATGAGTATGAGTTCTTCATTCTTACAACCATATATTTGTGCTCGATATGTGAAAATATATTTTATAAAACTTATAGGATATGAGGATGTACAAATTCTATAAAAGGTCGCTGGAAAAAACCTGAAATCTGTAAATGGTCGTTAACTCCACTATTGGATTGGGAGATGAGATACTTAAGGTGGTCACCGCCAATGTTTTGTTTTATACCTAACTGTTAATAGGGTTTTTTTCATAAAATATACATTAAGTGGCCTGAGATCGCTCCACCAGATCATGTGCCATCCATATCCAATCCAATGGCTTAGGCGTGTTTTCTGTTCTTGCACCATAGGCTCAACTTCTATTTTAGTGGCCCCTCAATTTTGGGCCGGCTTGAGTAATCAGGATTTAGGAGGGCAATGCGATTTATATTGGTCGGCTTAGATCCAAGTAACCCACCCTGCTCCGCTCTTCTTTGTTTTCCCCCATTTCTTTCCTTTTTGTTGTGGTATAATACTAGAGCAACTTTATTTAAACCAAAACTTTACACTAACTAGAATATTAGAGCAAGTTTGATGAGGTGAGGTCAGTGCCCACCAAATTTTTTGGTTGTAAAATGTTAGATTTATGGAATTTTTTTGTAGTTACCATTCGTTGTTTTGGTCTGCTGTGAACTCATTTGCGTTATACTACATACACATGTGTGACATGCTACAATGTAATGTAGTTTTGTAAGTCCTAACACAAATGTTGTGATCGCATTGTTGCATACGTTAGTTTCTAAGTTGCACAGAATTCTTCAACAGTTTGTTGTGAGTGAGCATGTGGAATTCTTGGACAATAATAAATAATACACATATGCATTTTTGAGGTATTTCCAAATGTATTTACATGGGACCCACCCACTGTGAAGCATGCTATTGTTGCGATGGGTCTATATAATATTGTTGTGCCGATTTTTCTTTTATATTTTGCAACGAGAGAAAAGATATTTTAGACCAATACTATATGATTCATGTGACACAAAAATTATATTGGTATAGATTTCGAGGTGGACGCCAGCGGGTGGCAAGAGGCATGGGCCCAACTCAGGTTGCTTATCTTGTGGTGGTTTAAAATAGTGCAAGATTTGACATTGCATTGTCCGAGGTGCCGTGCAAATTGACACAGTTTGAAACATTGTCTAGCCAAACATGGAGATTTAGTCAACTCGAGACAACATACAATTTTAGTTTTAGCTGGTTACATATCAAGATGCAATTCAAATTGATTGTTTTGTTGAAGTCAATTGAATTTCAATGCACAATGGTGCTTGCAATTAAAGTGGCTAGACATTTTTTATAACAAAAACAGTTTTGATCAATGTCACCAGCCACAAAAAGATGACTCCATTTTTTTGAATGGTCATGCTTATTTTGAGGTCGAAAATTATAGCCTTAATTATTGGATAAACATCACTCATATATTCTTTGCCTTTTTCATTTAATTTCTCACCCAGCATTAAGTGCTTCCATTTTTGGGGTGTGACTCACCTCTATCTCTTTTTCTAAGTTTAACAAGGATTTAAATGCTTTTATTTTTGTCCCTTTCAATAAGTCTATATAAGACAACACTCCAAGCACTCCAAGACATAAACATTAGCCCCATAGCCAAATTAAAATAGACGAAGAGAACACATATTTTTCCTTCCTAGTTCAAAAAAGGAGAGAACTCTTGGGATGGACACACGGGCTGCTATTGTTTGCTTCCTCGTGGTGCTAGCACTTGTGGGTACTCCTATTTCTGCAGGTGTGTTTAATTGTGTTTGTCAAACACATATAATCTAATCTAATGGGGGGTTTGTCGCTAATATTCTAATATAGTGGTTTCTGTTTTCTTGGTGTTGTGCAGAGAATTGCGCGGTCGTTGACAACGGCGGGGAGTTTTTCTGCACCAAGCCGCTGTGCAAGGCCACGTGTGAGGTGTTTGCACGTGATAGGAAGGGCAGCCTCAAGGACTACCACTGTGAGAAGAAGAACGCCATGAAGGCTGTTTGCTATTGCAACATTTGCTAGTAGAGACTGAAATACTAGCTAGTACTTGTTACGATAGACCAAAATATGTTATGTATAACCTCATATTGAGAGCAAGGAATAAACAATTTATTACTCGATCTGATAATTAGTTTTATTTGGAAGCCATGTGGAGCCGTTCGATGTTTGATTGTTCACTTATATTTCATTTGAGTTAGTTATTGTAACTATTTTTTTTCTAAAAACCATTAGGAATTAAACGATTATCGAGTTGAATCTTACTAGATCTATCAAGTTGAACTGCATGCTTTAGTTAGGCAACTCCTAAGTACATATACCGACTTTTAGTTCAATAAGGGATTGGACTAGATTGGTTTCATCAACCAACTTGGTGTTCTGTTGCAATCTTGGGTGGTGACCGCACACTATAATTGAGGATATACATAATGCACTTACTCTGGTTCATCTCATACTCTACTCATAGTAGCTCTTTTTAGTATTTAACTTGAGATATAATAGAACACCAGGGATTGGATTGTCAGTTGACCCGGTGTTCTATTGCAATCTTGGGTGGCAATCACGCACTAGAAATAAGGATATATAATGCACTTACTTTGGCCCATGTCAAACTCTACTCCTAGTAGCCTTTTTCTATTTAGTTGTAAGTGACAATGAGTTGCCTTTTATTTCAACTGTAAGCATCATTCATATGTAGTAATGTAGAAACTATTGGTTGTGTACAATTCAGTGCATAGGAACGCTGGAGGTGTGTGGGGGGGGGGAGTGTTTGGTTTTTTTACTCTTTCTTTCTTTGGATCAAGGGAATGCCAATTTCAGTAGGGGTGCTTGGGTACACCACTCCCGTTAAAAAAGGCCTCGTGGCTCGTGCGGTTTGAACACCGCGTGATGTGAATACAAGGGGCTAAGATGTCGTCATACTATGTCGGATGATGGGAATGTGAGGAGTAAGATAAAGTGGAGGAGTCTAACACTTCTGACAGATACATGGACGACCGGGGTAGTGGATTAGGGTTGGGAAGGATACGAATACCTCCAAACAAGTCGCACTAGCCGCCATGGGTTTCTAGAGCGCTCGTTATCTTTTTTATTTCAAGTGTTTTTATAATGTGAATTTTCTATATTACCCCTTCATAAGTAAAGGACATGTTTTAATCTAGACCATGATCTGCTCAAAAGTTGTGAAGCTTTTTAGGGGGGGAATCCTAGCGCATACTGTCGTGGTTCTAAGTCTGACAGTAATGTAGGGGGGTAGGTATGGAGAGGTAAGATCTTAGCTATGGAGTAGTTGTAAGCACACGAGGTTTACGAGTTCAGGCCCTTCTCGGAGGAAGTAATAGCCCTACGTCTCGGAGCCCAGAGGCGGTCGACTGGATTATGTGTGTATGAATTACAGGGGTGCGAACCCTTTACACTAAGGAGGGGGTGGCTTATATAGAGTTCGCCAGACCCCTCCGGCCCTCAGTTATGCAGGGTTTCAAATACATTAAGGTCGGGCGTTACTGGTAACGCCCCTAATAAAGTGCTATGATGACCATAAAAGCTACTTAATGACCGACCGTTAGCGTGCGGAGTGACTTTAGGTCTCCCGGCCGTCGAGTGGTTGGATCTTGGTCGAGTGATTGCTTCTTGGTCGAGTGTCTTCGAGTCTGTCGAGTGGAACACCTCCAAGTCGATGGAAAGGTGATTTCTTCTAGAGATGTCCTTGGGTAGGGCAGTTAGGACAGGTCCATGACCCTACCCTAGGTAGATAGCTTCATCATTAGCCCCTGAATGGATCGAGGTTTGAGTGGGGAAGGAGTTGAGAACTTCTCCGACTCATTTTTCATGCCATGAGCATATCTTGTTTCGGATCAATGAACCTGAGTGATGACAGCAACTTCCTTTTCAGTCGCCTTGATCCATTCTTAGTTTTTTGTTGAGTGAGTTTCTTTACTCGAAAAGCTCCGAGTGACGGTGTGGAGGAGATCTTCCGTCTGACAAGTTGTTCTGCTGCTCGCAGGTTTTGCGGGATTCGAATTCTGGGAAGCGCGCGGGACGGGGGAGGCCGCAGTAATCGGATGGGATAGGGCGGAGCCGCCTTGATCCCCGCGCCACCTTTTTCGCCACGTATCACGCGCGCGATTGTTACGGGATTTGACAGGATCGTCCGGGCCTACCAGCCAGCCACTCGGAAGCGACCTCATATAAGGCGTCGGACCGGGGTTTCTTGAACAGTGCGTTCTCATTTCCTCTTCTCCTCTTCAGGCTTCTTCGTCGCGCTCGCTCTCGCCCTAGCGCCGCCGCTCCATATGCATCTCGCCGGCGACGATGGGGAAGGAGAAGACGGCGGCTCTAGAGCGGGCGAAGAAGGCGACGGCAAAGGCGAAGGGGAAGGCGACCAGTCGGGGTGGATCTTCCTCATGAGCCGTCCTGCCGAAGGGCTGGATCCAGGGCGACTAGATCTCTCGGCGATCCGCCAAGAAGACCTCGATGATCTAGCCGATGGAGGACTGACCCCCCATGGATCGGCGCGGCTTCCAGGGAAGGAATCCGAGCCGCAACCTCGGGAGGGTGAGCGCGTTCTCCTTGCCACCCACGTCAACCGTGGATTTTCCTTGCGTCCTCACCCTTTCTTTTGGGGATTTCTGAATTTCTTTGGGGCACAACTCCACCACTTCACTCCCAACACAATCGTGTATCTCGCTGCTTTCGTGTCTTTGTGCGAGAATTTCTTGGGTTGTCGGCCTCACTGGGGTCTTTTCAAGCACATTTTCACCTGTCGTTCTCAGACGGTGAAAAAGGCCAATCCGAGTGACGAGAGAACACAAGTGATTCAGATGTGTGGGGGTCTTGGTGTTCAGATGAGAGGGAAAAGTTCCTTTCCGGCCATGATTCTTCCCGACTAGGTCCGCGGATGGCAGTTGACCTAGTTTTACTGCAAAGACCAGCCGACGCCAGGGCAGTCGACTGGCCTCCCTCCTTTTACCATGGACCGAGTGAGGAAACCCTCCTCTTTGAAGGTGCTCCCGGAGGAGAAGGCGCAAGTTAGGGTGCTGGTCGAACGAGTGGTCCAGCTTATCCGTGACGGGGTCACTGGTATGGATCTCTTGGAGGTTTTCCTTCGGCGGCGCATCCAACCTCTTCAATCTCGAGACCATCCGATGTGGATGTATTCGGGTCTTGACGACACCACTCGGATTCACCCGGAGGAGGTTGATGACGACACACTGGAGGGGTGGCTGTCGGGCATCACCGGAAACAAGGACAACCCCAGGGGAGCCAGGAGAGTTCCTCCACTCGACCAGTCCCACGAACCAGAAAAGGTCCGGTTCTGAGCCTTTGATTATAATCTGAATCCACTAGCGCAACTATCTATACTGCGTCGACTGACTTTATTCTCCCTGCTTTCTTTCAGGCCCTTATCAAAATGTACTCAGTGCCCAACGGAGAGCAAGAGCAAGATCTGGAAGGAAAGGCGAGCGGCGGCGACAGTGGCGAATGGCATTCTGACGGAGAAGAGGACGAAGAAAGCAACGACTCAAGTGACGAAGAAGAAGTCGAGTCGCCTCCTCGCAGGGAGAGGCGATCCAAGCTTGACCAAGAACGACCGACGCCCGTGAAAAGGCGATTGCTCAGACTGGTTAGTCTTCAAAGCGTCCTCGGACATCTTCACCAACCCAACTGAAAAAGTGTCAAAGCATCTCAAAGTTGCAGAGCAGAAGCCTCGGAAGGCGTTGCTGAAGATTAAGATTGACATCCCCGTCGCTTCTGCGTGAGTGTCTCCCTTTGTATTCACTCAACGCTCCGTGCTGTTTATTTTTTCTTGATTTAACCAGACGAACTTTGGAACTGGCAGCGCTGCTACTTCCGGGACCTCAGCTTACAGAGATGAGGATGAGGTAATGGAGGATGCAGTCACTTCCAATCTGGGTATGATTTCTGTCATTCTGTCTTTATTTGGTCGACTCAACTGCAATGTGTACCATTGGGTGATGTGATTTTGGCGATTGATCTTTGAACAGCTCCTAACACTATTGACCTCCCCGATGATAATGATGAGGAGCCTGAGAGGCCTTTGACAAGGAAAAATAGGAAAGCTCCTGCAAGCAAGGTGCCACAGTCGACGCCGATGGCGGAACCAGTCGTTCAGGACGCTGGTGATGCCAATCGGGGTTCTGTTACCTTCGCCGTACCATTGTCGAGTGCCCTGCCTTCTTCGTCGACTGCTCAAGCTCCTGTCGACCCACCTTCAGTTTTTGCGATCCATCATGTCCCAGAGGACGAAGTGAATGCTGCCAAGGAAGCCATACGCCAGGCGGGCATTATGATGGAGAAGGTGAAGATGGTGAGGGACACCAGTCAGGCCGCCTATGACGCCAGCTCGGCTCTCCAAAGCAATGTTCAGGTTAGCTGGTCACCGCTTGTTCTGTTAGGATATGCTATATGGAGACTCTCTTTCCGAAAATCTTTGCATCTGTACACCCACTGGGTGCGTCGATTGAATTTTTGGACTAGTGGGGGCATGCTGAGTGCACCCACTGGGTGTAGTCCCCGAGTCTACGGTGGACTGCTGGCAGTCGACTGTAGTCTTTGTATTTTGATTCTTTCGCTCGATTTGGTCTGGCCATGTCGAGTGTAAACCGAACCGGTGGGGGCACGCAAAGTGCACCTACTGGGTGTAGTCCCCGAGACTATGGTGGACTGTGGGCAGTCGACCGTAGTCTTAGTATTGATTGTCTTTGTCGTTTTTCACTATAAAATAACTTCCCCTCCCTGTTTGTAGAAATCTTGCGATCTTGGAGCTCGCTTTGCTGACTTGGAGAAACAGCAGATCCAGCTAAACCTTGACTTGGAATTGGCCAAGACAGAGCTGCAAAAGGCCAAGGACGACGCCAATGGTAAGACGAGCTTGTCGACTGGTTTGTCTTAGACTTGAGTGCCCTTCTGCTCTTTCTAAATCAAGCACCATTTCTTTACAGAAAAACTGAACGAAGCTCTGGCGAAGAAGGATCAGGATTTGGCTGCTGCTCAAAAGAAAGCTG